TAATAGAAAACCAAACCGAAAGCTAAAAAAAACCCATGAGACTAAAAGCGTGTTTAGTCAAGAAGTAGCTGAATTGTGTCCAATGTTTTTATTGTTCTGTTTCCAATAATTAGAAATCATTTAGGTTTATAACTTTCGTAGTAATTTTTGTTTTTCATGGCTCCAACCTGCCAAAGACTACAGATGAAAATTCTGTTAGATTGAGGTATTAATGTTGAATAACATGAGCTCTCAAAATTAAATAGAGAAAATAAAAATTTAAATATTGTATGTTGCTGTGTCTGATGCTCAATTTTACCGATGTAACATCCCGACTGTAAAGTGGTGCTCCGTGACTATACATTACTGGGTCACTGTGGAAACAAACGGCTGTAGATTGAAAACCTTTTTATTGTTTATCTTCTTCCAGTGTGTGTGTGTGTGTGTGTGTGTGTGGGGGTGTGTGTGTGTGTGTGTGTGTGTGTGTGTGTGCGTGTGCATTTAGCTGTCTCGCGTCTCCATTGATTGCAACCAAGGCCGTAGCTCCTGTTACGTTACCATGGAAACGAGCCTATCGCTTGGGAGCCGCGGAGAAACGAAACACCCTCTGATCAATAAGAGTCTTTAATAATATGTCCGTCGGAGACGAACACAAACACGCATGCAAAACAGAGACACACTAACCCAGACTCAGTAAGTACTGTTGCGTTGAAGGAGCCTTTTATTGAGATGTTGCAGTGAAGGATGAGCAGAAAATAGCTGGACTCTTTTGAAGCCCACTGAGACACTTAACTGAGTGCTGCAGGGAGAAGTCATGGCAGTTGGCAAACTGCTGAAGAGGGAAATCTGGAGTGTTGTCACTATTCGTCTCACAAAATGTCTTGGAAAAAAAGGAGAGGCTCAACACGACACTTCTCATTGTGAATTCTTATAACGGCACTTAAAATATTACTAGCATTTATGTGAAAAGTTGTGTAAACTAAAACTGAAACTTTAAACATTGAAATAACAGTGGATGCAAGTTACACATAGGGGCTGATAGTGATTACATTGTGGTACAGATAGTGAAGAAATTAGACAAAGATAACGTGAGTAAACAAAAAAAGCGGTAAAGCATGTTATAACTTCAATTTATGTACCAAAATTCAGTAATTTAGTAGTTTTCTAAGTATACAACCTGAATGCCATGTAAAATATATTTAAAGTTTGTGATACAACATGAAATCAGTGTGTTTTAGGAGAAATTATATTTATGTGCAGCATAACAAATATCTAGACTGTGTATATAGTTTTGTGGTGCATCATTAGCACACTGTAGAAACTCTATAGGGAATCTGTGCAAAACTTTTTTTGCTAAACAAGGAGATTAAAAGGAGGTGTACAGTAAATGAGATGACAAGCATACTCTCAATAAAAGCTGATATGTGTGTGCCTGTGAGAACTCTACTCCTGCAAAGGGCTCTACAGCCCAGCACAGTTAATCAAGACTGTGGAAAAAGCTGGCAGGACATGTCATATATAATGAATGTGAAACCCCCCCCCCAAAAAAACAATTCAATAAATCAAGGTGTTTTATGATACGCGTTTCCATATTTTGGACTTTATTCTGTTGTGTTTCTTCAACTTCTTGCATTCAAAGCTGTTATCAGTTTCTGACTTTCTTGTTGCTGTTTTCCTGTTTTATTTTGGTAAGTCAGGTCAGTTCTCTTTACTTCCTGTTTCCAGCCTCATGTTTTGCAGTGATGTGTTTGTGTACTGTTTACAAGTTTCTGATAAGTGTGAGAAAGTTTTATTTAAGTTTATAAAAACCCAACAGCTTACAGTATTTTACTGTATTATTTTGTTGTTGTTGTTGTTTTTTGCATCTAAAATAACTATTTCCCCAATAAAGTATGTTGTTCCAACTAATTTTGGATCCCTTTAATTCTCTGTGCTTTTATTTGCTGTGTTGCTTCTCAGTATTTATGGGACTAAATTAAGCTGTGTGTGAAGAAATGATACATCAACATCCGGGTATATTCCACAAACCTTTCTTCCCTCTTTAAATAGGCCAATGATCACCATCTGGTGCTGACACACATGTGGAGGAAACAAGCAGAGCCTCTGTCCCTCATAGCATCCAACTATGGTCTGCAAAGTATAGTAAAGCCTGAACTTCACTTCACAGCAACTATTGTAATAGTTGTGTTTGTTGAAAACACAACATTACGACGAATGCTTTTGAATATTACTAAAGTACACAGTGGGCTTGTGGTTAACACCAAAATTATCTATACACCTGATTTTGATTTTATTTAGCCAAGATGTATGTGTCGCCAGATAAAAAAAATGGATACCTACAAAATATATTTTGTAAAGTCTCTTTTGCTTTTATTTCACCCACTAATTGTAGTTCTTATTTTTGTCAGCAAGTGGCGCTGTTAAAATAGAGCGATTTAAAACTACCGGAAATTGAAACAAACTCTTGTTTACGTTCGCTGGCACTCTGACTGAGAAAACGGAAGTGGAGGACATTTTTGGTTCATTTTCACCATTTTGCTGAAGCCCTTGCTGGTTACGAATTTTAAGTTTGTATTAAATGGACCATTTACATAACAAAATACTATTTTTTCTGCATTTTTTGAACTTTATTTTTCAGTTTTGCAACTCAGAGAAAATGTTATTTTTGGGAAAAAAGAACCCCTTTTTTGTTTGATGTTCAGCGTGCTCTATTTATCCCAGCGTATTTCAGTTTTCACTGTTTTATTTGACGTTCTTTGTGCTCTGTCAGTCCTGTCATACATTGTAAAAGTACATTTTTCTGATCATAGCTTGTTGTGACTGTGGACCAAGGATGAGAGATAACGAGGCGCAGAGATATTGAGCTCAAAAATCTCCTGGATGGAAGAAGGTGAGTCAGAGCATGGAGTGTAATGTAGCATGCAGGCCAAATCTAGATCACTGAACACACCAGTATTTCTTTTGTAATTTTTCATATCGGAGATGGGCACCATGATTTCACTTCAGTGTGTCTGTCCCAGTTTTGGCAGCAGTGCATTTACAGTGCTAACACTGGAAGGAGTTCAGGCCTTTCTTTTTCACAATTATGTACTTTTAACAGTGGTGGATATTATAGATTAGATGGAATTTAATTTTTTATTTTTTTTAATAGTTTATAGTGTCAGATTGTATGCTTTGGACAACCAGTATTTCCAATAAAACATATTTCCCTTTCTTGTAGAGAAATATGCCATCCTCTCTGCTCGATACATCAAAAATAAAACTATTTTCACTGGTACTTTCTCTGATATCTTATTCAATGGATCTTACTATATAAAGGTCTGATATGCTGAGCAATTCTGAGGGTTTCAAATCTGTAACATTTTAAAAGCTTTTCATATATTCATGTAAGCAACCAGCCCTATGTCTATTAGAACTCTTGTGAATCCTGTTTTTCAATGGAGGCTCTTTTGCATCAAATTTATATCTTATGTTCTCCATGAATTATGACCATTAGTTCCAGGAACGGATATTAGCTATCCTTTGATTCAAGTTCAAGTTAGGAAGTGGCAGTCCACCCTTCCTGTAGGATATCTGTGAATGCATTTTAGATATTTAGGGTCACTTACCTTTGAAAGTAAAATTAAAACCAATATTTAATCCATGGACAATTCCATCGGCGGTCCAGTTTTAGTGCTGATAAAGCAATTTGGTTTTCCCATTATGTGGAATCAAAAATTATATAATCAATTTTAAATAAAGCCTTATACACTACGCTGCCCTGCTTTAATATGATGATCAGAGTCGGGAAAAGAATATGATTCAGTTCAGCAGTCTAGGTTGAGCAATAACTCAGCTGTTTTATTTATAGGTGGCTTTTCTCCAAAGAAATATGAGAATCTCACACTCACTGAAATGCTTGGCATGCAGTTTCTTTTGAGGCTGCAGGTTGACTTGACTGAAGCGTTTCTTTCTTTTTTTTTGTATATTTGGATTTTAAAAAAATCCAGGACGTAGGCTATCTTCAGTATCTGCACTTTCTTATGCACAGAAGGTCCACAGTAAAATATGGCAGTTTTTTTTTAGAAAGTTTTTATTTTATAAAAATATGTTTTAAGAATATATGTTGAAATTAATAAATTAAAGGAATAAACTCAGCAGTGTTTGTAACTCAGTAATTTGTTAGAAAAAATTATAACTGAATTGTTGAGCCTTTAAAATCTTAAAAAATATGTCAATTATTTTATTTATATAGATATCAAACAGTTACTGTGCTCTAGTGAACAATGAGATCATTTAAACTGACATTAAATGAATTGATCGTCACATGTATTTTGATATCAAAGGTGTATTGAAGAGTAGCTTAAAGGAGTGATAACTTCCTATCACTCTTTAAAAATAAGTATGGTAGCACAGTGAAACTACAGTGAAACATTGTTTTATATTCTTATGTATCTAGAATATATCTACATAGAATATATACTTTTTTTTATTTCATTCATTAGAAATAAGGAGAAGATCTGTCGTGGTACAGTTGTGTTCATTTACAACAACTCTCAGATATTTCTGCATTGAGTTTTCGTGTTTTTTTCTGAGCATCCATGGGTTTCTCTTGCCACTCAGTTAATTTTAGGTTGACTGGTTGCCTGTCATGGACTGGTAACCTGTCCCGGGTGCATTCTGCCTTTTGCCCAATTACTTCTGGACATAGGAACCTATGTCCCCTTCCCCACCACTGAAAGGACATGGATGTATGGAACCTCTATATTTGTATGTGGTTAAATAAAAATTATTTGTTTAAAAAAAAAAAAAAAAAGATACGATAATTTATGACCATGGCTCATTGAAACCCAATCAGCAGCAGAGGCAGCCACTCCTCAGCCAACCATCCACCTGTGAAGCAATGACGCTTCATGCATAGTAAAAGAGGGCTCTTAAAGGGACAGCCACTTCCCCCGCTATGCTAAAGAAACTTGGGGGCTTCCTTTAAGTACACAGGGGGCCTAGAGGACAGGCTGCCAGGGAATATGTGGGGCTAGACAGCCTGCTTGCTTGTAACACAAGATCCTTTTACAGAATTATCCACGCTCCGCTGGAGCCGCCTGTCCCCGCCCCTTCCGTCCCTCCGACAACACACAGCATCCATCCTCATGGGCTCACACGCTGCGTGATCCACATCACAACCCACGGAGCGGTGGCTTGGCCGAGCCTCATGGAGTAGTAGGACTACTAGTAAGAGGAGGTGGGCTGCTCTCGGCTGCCTTTTGTTACTTTCCTCCCTTTCTTCTTTTATGGAGTCGCCTTTTTGTCCGGAATATCGCTGCATCCCATAGCGGTGAGTGTCTGTGCTGCAGATGCTGAAGGGGAAACGGGACTATGGAGCTATTGTCTGTTGCTGAGCCAAGTTCAGATTTCTAATTAAAAGACAAAGCTGGGGTCAGATTTAATTGGATTGATCCATTAATTAACAAGAATCGCTCAGAATCTGTTAAAACTGCTATTCGGATAGAATATCGGTATTTCACAGGCACCTGTCTGTCTTTACCAGCAACAGTGGCCACCTTCCAGCGCTTATTTAAAGCACAATCGGGGATATCCTCAACCTTTTTTTTTTTTTTTGCACAGCCAACAAGAGCAGCGTGAGATATTTTAATGTATTCTTGCTGTGTGTAAATATGTCGCCTCCGTTGCCGAGCAAAATGTGTTTTCAGCCCAAGAGGGGGAAAAAATGTGACCCGTTTCCCCGCCCCCCCAACATCAGATCCTGGCTATGTCTCTTCCAGCAGCTCCCGTAGCCGTGCAAAGACGCCGCTGATTCCTCAAAGACGGAATTCCCAAGCCTATTAGGGGTCTTTATGATCGTTTCAGGGCAACCTTGAAATTAAATCAGTGTTGCATGTGTCATCAGCATGCTCTGATTGCCTCTTCTTTCATTATGTTTCCACTGCAGTGCCATGCATTTACTGTGATGGCTTATGCTGGGGGAAGAAATGAATATAATACGTGCAGATCCGTCACATTTTGCTCTTGTGGAGTAAAAATTAGGATTTAAGATGTTTGTAATGCACCGATAAGGTATTCAAATAACAGATTCATCTTTATGTGGGCAAAAATGCGTTGATTCTCGGTTACAGCTATAAATTGTACATTGACCAGGAATTTTAAGTAAATTATATGTGAAGTCATTATTACAGGAGCCATTGCTACTTATGTTGAGTCAGCTGCAGGATTAAATCTTGCTTGTCCGGTCATTGCATGCCCTTAACCAACTGTGTGCATGCACAGTTGCACTGAACCCTCCTCAGCTTGGCTGAACATTGAAGACAAGGAAGCATTACCCACCCAGAGAGGCAGCATATTTTCACCTTCCATCCTATACGGGCGTCTTACTGCATGTGCTCGTATATTTACGGGCGTGTCTAAGCTCATGTCTGTTGTGTGAGCCAAAGCAGACGAGTAATGTCATTTAGCGGCCAGATGGCCTGCAGTTGGACCATCAGGTGAGCCTTTTCCACGGCTGTCAGTAGGATCTGGTGAACGCTGGGCACCGCTTGGATCCCAGCCACAAACTACACAAGTGTGCACCTGAGTGTGTCTCTATGCGGTTGCTCTCATATACAGTGAGTGTACGCTCCCTTTTCAAATCGCTGCATATGTTAGTTGGCAGAGGCTGGTTAGTAAATGCTTGGATGTGTGCATTTTCCTGCACAGCTAGCCAGGGTGAGGTCACAGTGACATAATTTGCCTAAAGCATAATCATCACCAAGAATGACTGTGTGGTAGAGGCCTATGAAGGGTTCCTACTTGAACAATCTAGGAAAGGATGGGACTTCCTTTTGTAATTGTCCAGGTCTGAATCAAAATGGAAATTTATGTGGTTTAACTTCTAAGTGTGTCTAATCTCATCTTTTTCAAAGGTTGTAATTGGCTTATTTTAAATCAAAATAAATCTTTTCATTTGTCAGGTCAAACATTTTGATTTTCCACTGATTGGCTAAGTTCGCTCACTTTCAAATATCAAAAAGAGACTTTATTACTATCTATAAGTACAAGGTCAACTGCCATTCTAGATTTTAACTTGGTTCTAAGAAAAACACGTGAAACGGTGTAAAATGGTGGTGGCAGCACCATGCTCTGGTCATACCTTTTTTTCCGCATTGGAGACAGACAAGTTGAAGGGATGCAGAGAAATGTACAATCCAGAGCTGCATTCAGGTTATGCTTAAAGTTCTGTGTTCTATGCATGTTTATTATGCGTTACATGAAAAATATGACACATTATTCATTCTGAATTTGTTGATAGAAATGTGACAGAAAAGATTTCTTATGTATAATAGGTGCTACTTATCATGGCTAGTCTCCAGGTACAGAAATATTAGAGGGAATCCTGCAGGACAGTGGACCGTCCACTGAGGCCGATTAAATAATTCATCTCTTGTGTGAGGTCGCTCCTTCAGTGATGAATCATAGCGTCCACATGAAATTCAAGATGCATCCTGATCAGCTGTAACAAATTGCTTACAGAAACTGGATACTGTTGTTTTGATCTTTTTGTATTACTTGATCCATTCATTTAGCTTTGCATTTACACACATAAAGCATTAAAAAAATAATTCTTGCATGAAGAAAGGTTGAGTTTTACCTATCAAGATAAAACAAATGGGATTCAATCTGCTTTCTTCCCTTTTTTTTAAGTAATCAGATTCCAGTGAAGCTGCAGAAAGAAGTGACATTTGAACCCATCTCTAAAATCCATCCTGAGGAGGGACTAAATATTGATTTTCCATGCAGTCTTGCACCCATAGACATACATGTATGGGCAGAATCACACATAAACCTCCTCCATGGCTCAACGCTAGCAGGAATTTGATTACATCTAGACATGGGGGGCAGTGTTATTAGTGCAGTGGTGGTGTCTCGATTGGGTAATAGATCTGTCACAGCGATGCCCCCTGGGAATGATCGGCCCTATTGGGCGAGATAAGACCTGTCACTAGAGAATGAGTGACCCTGCCTTTATTTGAAAACGCTGATACATACAGGTGATAAATCTCCCGGTGGGTGAGCTGGAATGGTTTTGCCAGATTTTGCAGTGTGGCTTACTGTTTAGCATTTCAAATTTGAACATCACCACATATAGATCTATATCTTAAAACCATTCACTCATAAGAAAAAACTTCATGCTGTCGAGGTTAGTTAAAATTTTTATCAAAAAAGAATTGGTCAGTCATAAAATTCAGAGAGTTCAAATCCGCAAAGCAGGTGTAGTTCAGTGCATGTCTCTGCAGCACTGCAAAGCAGCATTTTCTATTGAGGGAAGGGCTGCTTTGCAGTGTTGTCCCCTTGAAAGTAAGTTTAAGGAAATTGTCAGGATCATTTTCTGGTTTGGGATAGTTGTCAGAATACTCCATCAGCCTGCTGAAGACTGATAGAAGCAGAAAAAAAGGGGACAGATCCTGAGAGATAGGCTGACGGCGCCTAAGACTAAAGCCGATTTTGTGTGTATGTTCAATTCAGATGTCTTTGCGATGCACTTCACAACACTAATATACCACTTCACATACAGAAATATGAGTGGGACATTAACATATTAAAAGTAATTTTAATGCTTTAAAAAATTTAATGGGATTAAATCTTTTTTTTTCCTTTTAAATGCAAAAGTCCTGAGCTGGAACCTTCTGTGTTTCCGGTACATCCATGTGTCTGATACACAAACTGTATCAAAGCGATGGATGACACAATTGCTTTTTTTGGTCCACTATAAATTTTGCCTCAGAAAGCAATTTGTTGTACCAGTTTTTTTTGCAAAAAAGCTGGCCTACTACTGAAGCTGTTCAGGCCTAAAGTACCATCTCAATGCAAAGCATGTAGTGAATGTTGTCTGCGGGGGTTAAAATAGACTTCTGAGGTGCAATCAGAGGTTCTGAAAGAGTTCACAGCTGTTACATATTGAAATGTCTTTCTGTTGAAAATATGCATCTGCTTGATTTGTTTCATAATTGTCATCAAAAAGTGTTTTAAGCACAAGGGTGAGCACCTCACATTTTTCTCTTTTAGAGAAAAATGTGCTTGGCCTCTGCTGTTTTATTTGATGCATCATCTATCCATGATGGTATGTCTGTCAAATCAAATCCCTGGCCTTGAACTATCTTGCATCATAGATGTGTATTATGAAAGGATCCGATTGCTTCAATTGGTGTTAGAACTTGGGATTGTTTTGAGTTGGCTTTGGAACTTCCCTTCCTTTGTCTAGCTGGTGCAGAGGAAGACAACCAAACTTAAAAAAATAGCAAACTGCTCTTGGACCCATTTTAGCTTCACACCAAGAAGCTACTTGGCTTCTTGGTGTGACTGTGATGCTGCTGTCGCTGTTCAAATGCCACTCAACTTTTTGAATAAACTGACATTTATCTTTGGCTGGTAAATCCCATTTGTCCATCTCTCTGTCATTGGTCTACTTTGTGGTATGGGAGGTCATGCCCTCTTTGTCCTGTTCATGGTTTCATGGGGACTCATGCTTTTCTCCAGCAGTTTAAGGTTGTACATCTTGGACGCTGCTAATTTCACCTGTAATGACTCAGATGTAGCTAAATATGGAATAGGAGCTACAGATTCCTGTCACCAGATGATAGAGTTCATATTTGAACTAAGACTTTCCTGCATAGCTCGATGCTCAGTGTCTGCTGTGGGAAGCCGATCCAGACTTACTTCTTATGTGTGGCATAAAATGTTCAGAAGTTAAAAGAATCTTCACCGAATTTTTTGTCTGGAACAAATCTAATTGAAACAAAAGTTGTAGCACAGAAATGTGAGATTTTCCTTTCTCTTCAGCTGGGGTAAGAAGAATGCGGATGTTATTTTGATGATTCTGAAGTAGCTGAATGCTCAGATCAAAAAGCCTGTTTGATCTCACTATCGACTAAAATCCAGATATGTTACAAGGCAGCATGAGGAAAAAAAAACTTGCACTGGATCACTGAATGTTTAAAATGAAGTGAAAACACAATGGACACTCATGGGAAGACAGGATTTATTTTCTTAAAAACTTGATCATGCATATGCAGATACCTGTAGGCATTTTCTGCTTAGTGACATTTGTTGGGCTGCAAAGCAACTCATTATTTTTATACCTTAACAAACTGTGTTGCTTTACAGAAGCATATGCACAAAATAGTTGTGAAACTGCAGTTTATAGAATCTAATTAAACTTAACTTCTCAAATGTTAAAAATATATCCCTATTGAGAAAAGCTAATTAGGAGCTATAAATACTCATTTGCAAGTTGGCATGATTTGTTTCTTTTGTCATACCACATGCATGAGAAATAATTGGATT